AACAGTGTTTCGTGATATATCGCGAAGCCTGTTACGCGAGACGTGGTCTGGCGTACATATAGCTAGTTAAAAAATCGAAAACCACAGGTCCCTGAAATGACGTTTTTTAAAAATAGTTTTTAAATGTTTTCTAAGGGGTAACTCATCAAAGTAGAGTTCTACGGGTGAAAATTTCGTCCGTTTGGCTCTATCTCTAACCGTTTAGGCGCCACAGGGAGTTTTTGACGAGCCCGTATCTTCGTGTACTTTTTTGCGCCTCCCGACTGGGGTGTCAGCGCCGCAGGCCTAGGTAGATGTATGCCAGGCGCGTCGCAGCGTTACAGTGTTTCGTGAGATATCGCGAAGCCTGTTACGCGAGACGTGGTCTGGCGTACATCTACCTAGTGGTTTTTGTTGGCTGAGCGATTAGCGAAGCCCATTACTCCAGTGACCGGAAAAGTTTCATTCTGTTTGTCTGTCTGTCGGTCTGTCTGTGCGCACGATAACTCGAGAAAGAATTGACAGAGCGATCTGGGAATTTCAGGGTCGTTGTGTATCATAAAAAGACAGATCGAGTTCGAAGATGAGCATTCTAGCTCAAAAATTGACTTTTTAAAAAATCAAAAACCACAGGTAATAACATATATTTTGTTCAAATATTTTTTTATGGTCTCCTATTGGGTAACTCGTGAAAGTAGAACCCCACGGACGAAAATTTCGTCCGTTTTGCTCTATCTTGTACCGTTTGGGTGCTAGGGGGCATCTCTGGACAAAAATGTGGTGAAAATGGCTAAATGGTCGATTAAATCATTAAAAAGACTTCATTTCGAAAAATTGTATATACACTCCTATTACCCCGTCTCGGGTATCAGCGCCGCAGGCCTAGCTATATGTGCGCCAGGCGCGTCGCAGCGAAACAGTGTTTCGTGAGATATCGCGAAGCCTGTTACGCGAGACGTGGTCTGGCGTACATATAGCTAGTTTATTTGAAATCAAGTATACTGATGTGTTTGCTTGTTTACAGATTGTTGCCAGAAGTGGCTCAATCAAAGCTGCTATTGAAGATTTCCATTTGCTCATGCGCAATAAGACAAATCTGATGGATTACAAGAGATATCTGTTGTCTGCTAAGCAACAGTATACAGTTAATGAGCCTGACCCCATGGTAGTCCAAGATGACTGCTCTCATTTCGCATTGGTTCTCATTCGAAAGGAGCTAGCGGAAGCTAAAAAGCCAGCTGTTCGAATTAGATACGAAACTACAGAGGACTCGTTATTTTTTTTTTAGAAATTTTCCAATGCCATCTAGACACATGATGCGTGTGAGAGCAGCACAAGGTAATTACATTTTGAAAACTGTTCAATTGTGAATGAGTATTGCATCTACTGTGTAATAATCTGTAGTTAAAAAATTCAGGCCTACCTATGCAAAAGAGCTTGTTGGAGAGCGGTGGCTAAAAGCCTACAATCTCCAGGACAAGACTACTACTGTTGCTGCTTCTCAAGAAGGAGTTATTCACCAAAAACTCCCTGCTTGCATTAAACTAAAAACAAGCAGGAAAAATTCAAAAGAGGGCTGACATTGGCGGGGCAGTTTGGTGATCTTATGACAGTTTGTGGACAACGTTTATTTGAGGTCGCAGTTGCTCAAAGACCTTATCAATAAATGGAAGGCAAATGATTAAGTGTTTTTGGTTTCCAAATTTACTGCTATTGAAAGTAACTTTTATTTTTAATCTTATTGCGCAATTCATTCTGCTACCCTATTTTGCAATTGTAAGTAAACAGTTAAATATATTTATTCAACAGATGCTGACCAAGAAATATTGGAGCAAGAGATCTAAGATAATGACACTCAGACCCCAAAAAGCCAAACATCAAAAGGACAGAAACTTGATAAGAACTGCACTGACAGTGACAGCTCCATTGAAACTACCACTAAACCAACAAAAAAGAAAAAAGTAAAAAACTGACTGACTTTTTTGAAGCAAGGTCTGGGCATGAAGATACCTCAGAAACAATGAGTAAGCAAACGACAACAAATAGTGAAGTAAATAAATCTAGTAAAAATGGGAAGAGCTCTGAGGAAATAGATAATACACAAACAATGAATGATAAAATGAGGGGGATCCCTGACGATACCTCAGAAACAATGAGTAGAAAGAAACTAACTAGCAATAGTGAAGAAAATATATCTAGTAAAAATGAGGAGAGCTCTGAGGAAGTAGATAACACACAAACTAAGATTGACAAAATAGTGGAGTACCTTGATGCAGAAACTGAGGGTATGTAGATGCGGAATACTTATACGAGCTGTGAACCATTTCTTTTCTTTTTTGGTGAAAACAGTATAGGAGAGGCTGGACTTGTCCGCCATGAAGCTCTGACGAGTAGGAGGGTCGCGTCGGTGTGCGCAGAAGGGTCTGGGCGTGAGCCTGCCTGGAGCCGCCGACGGTGCAGATCTTGGTGGTAGTAGCAAAATACACCTATCCACATTATTTATAAATTATTCCAGATAACACTACAGTCAAGTGCCCTAAATACGGACTAGCGTCCAAAATACGGACACTTTGCTGTTTTCTACTAGTAAAGGCCCTAAATCGAAAATGGGTATCCGGAATATAGCTGCCGAGGGTTCGCTGGAAAGGTTAGACCTTCTAGAATCTAGATTTGAAGAAATATTTCCGATATCTTGCATACTGTTCTCTCCAAAAAATGCCAAAACTTGCGTTTTGGGGCGCCACGAAAACGGACAATTTTTATACTGCTTTGCAAGAATGTGGGGCTCTCAACGGCGGGTGATCGCACAACTTTCAGGTTGACATATGTGAAACTAGGACTCTTCACCTACAAGATGACACAAGAAAATTTTGTTTATGTCACTTGTGTCAAGTTTGAAAAGTGATTTCCGAAAGTCTCCTAAATACGGACAGAGGATTTTACATGCAAAAGTGACTGCTGTCCGTATTTAGGGCACTTTAAATTACTTTAAAAACGATCTCTAAGCAATTCTGGCGGCTAAACTATACCAGATAAGAAAATTTCACCAGCAGGGTAAGGTCAAATTTTTTCATGAAGTTTCTATTCCCCCCAACAATTTTTCACTTTTCATAATTTTTAAAGGCTGTCCGTATTTAGGGCGCTTAGGCTCCTAAATACGGACACTCTTCTAGCGTGGCTCACTGGTACACCTTAGGTGATAAAAAACCGTTCAAGGTGTTGGTAGTGTGTCTCGATCCGAAGATGTAATAATCCCCACCGATTTTCAATTTTGTCAAAACTACAGATTTTACAGGCCTTTTTCTCTAAAAATCGTCCGTATTTAGGGACAATGACTGTACTGTGAACAATGTAAGCCTACCAGTGTTTAAACCCAGAGGAAGGCCCCCAGCTGATAAAAATAAGTTGACTGTTATTGGGACTCTTAAAAATGATCCACCAGGTATGTACTACAGTATCATTTGGGGGAAAATCCGTTAGTTCTATATCTCACAACTTTAAGCTAATAGAAATGTTTTGTTGGCTAGATTGGAAAAAAGGCACAACTCTTCCCCCAGTCATAAAAATAATTGGCAAGTCTAAGGATCATAATCGGACAGTCTTCAGCTATAAAAATTATAGATATTTCACCTTTAGATCTTTTCCTACTATAGGTAAATTAGTCTGCAATAATTTTTTTTATAGCTTCTTCTAAAATCAAGTTCACTAATAAAGGAAAATCAAAATAAAATCAGTAATGAACCTTTTCCAACTAATAGACTTCCACTCAAAAAGATTGACTATTGCCTCTCAAAAAGAAAGGTATAAGAAACAGAAAATAGCAAGACATTGTGAATCTTACAAAAGCTCAGGTCATTGCACTATGTTCAAAAACAAGCTGGGCCCGCTCTTCCGCCAAACCAAGTTGCCAGCTTCGCTCCACCGGCAACTCGGTTCGGCAGGGAGCGGGCCCAGCTTGGCCTGCCGGCGGCGTCTGGGACGGGCCTTCGGCCCATCCCTTCTGAATTTTCATGGTGTAATACATCTTCTATCCGAAAGGCCCGTTTGAGTGACGGCTCGCTTTGGACCATATTTTTGCCAGGTACCTTTTCTGTCTACTCCGTAATCAAAACTCAACAAACGAAGTATTCTTTTCATACGCTGAACATCTTTGGATGTGTGTGCCGCAGTTTGTAGAATACATGCAAGTTATGCCAAATACCTTAATGCCTAAGTTATTGATGTTAGCTTATGAATCAAATAACACACCTATGAAAAGATACATAAGACTAGCCCTAGAAGAAAATAAATATACTTCCAGGCATACTCAGATTGACTCCGAACGTGTTCGAAAACAAATAAATGTTTTTTTGGTGTTTTTTTTCTCTTTTCTTTTTTTGCTTTTTTGCATGGAAGTGTAAACGTTTTATTAATGATGTCCCACCATAAAATAAGCCCACTCTTCTGCTTAGAAGAAAATTTTGAACCGACGACATACTTCTCAGACAGAAGTGTACTTCTGAAAAAGTAAAAATATTTCTGTTTTGGCCAGTTTGGTAAGAAAAACTCCCTTTCGTAAGTAAGAAGATTGTGAACAAATTGCAGAGTCCAGTAATGAATATAAAAAAACTAATCAAAGAAAGGGCTCTCCCAAGACATCAAAAGTAGTGAACAAGAAGAAAAGTATTAAAAGTAAATATATATTTAGTTCATTAAAATCAGATAAAAAGGTGCTCATTAACTTGTATTACATTTATCTAATAATTTTGTTTCAGAATCTATTAACTTTGACAATGAAATTATTAATAATGTTAGCGATAAGGTTTTCAAACATCTTAAGAAAACTGAGAGACTCCCAGTAGACCAAACTGGCAAGGTAAACTAGGAACTGTTTTAAATCTCTGAAAATGCCTCGCAAATTTATTTTCTCCTACCTGCTCTATTTGTTGATTTCAACTTTCAGATTGACTTGGGCTACGGCATATCTGTACCTGATGAAAGTTTCCGTAAAAACTTCAAAGATAACCGCCTTGACATGGACAAGGCGGCCAAGAATATGACGTCTATGGTTTGGTCAAGATCAGAAAGGTTGAGCCGAAGCCTTGAGGGCCAAGGCACCAACCGATTCAAGGACTCAACACCTAAACAACCTGCCACACCTGCAAAAGTTCAGGTTATTCTTGGTAAGTCGCACAGAGTTAAATTTCAGCCAGTATTTTCAATTGAATAACACGTCAAACTAAATTTAATGTGGCCTCTTTATATTAGGATGTCTGAAAGGCCACATGCTGAAGGAAGGAGACACTGAGGGTCCTAGAATGGCTTCCTCATTCAAATCATGTGCTAAAGCTATTGGCGACAAATTCGCTCAAGATGCGTACAACAAGGTAAGTTGTCTATATTATGTTGCAGACATGATGTAGAAAACCCTATCTACATCATGGTTGCAGATGTGGGCAACATTTTTAAAACAGTATAAAATGATAATGCTATGACATTGTTTTATTAACTGAAAACATTTCGGTAGGAGTATGATAAAAGTAGTGTTATTCTTTAAGGACTAAGATAAAGTTTTTGATTCTCAACACTTCCCTCAGCAGTGGGACCCAAAACTTAAACTTACTGAGACCTCTTCTGCTTAAAGTATTTCATTAAAATTCTATCACCCTTTTACTACCTGGGAACATTCCTTATAACGTCTTATTTTTTATGCCTAGCATAACCATTTACTTGCTATTTTTAAAAATTTCACCCGTAGATGTTCACTCTTACAACTATTTTTGGCACGCTTAATTACTTACATCTTGTTGTATTTCAGAAACGAGAAGAAGCTCGTGCTGCAAAGGCAGCTGCTGAAGCAGCCAATGCTTGAAGATTAAGTTTACCTTCTTAATCAGCTACTAGCCACTAAGGCATTTATTTTCCTTTTCTTGACGGTGTTTGGTAGATTCGCATCCCCGCCCGGTTAGTGCTGTGGTCACGGCCGAGCAGCTCCACGAGGTGATATATTAAATTTGAACGGCGGCGCTCGCGCTCCAG